TCTCCTGAGCTGAACTGTGTGCAGAGCCCGACGCTGTGCTCACATTCAGTGGCTGAGCTCCTCTGCCAGCTGCTGGGCACCGGGCACCTGGGCTCTGCTTCCTGCCCAGGGTCTGGCACTATCCAACCCCTCAGTGAGCCAGCTTAGCTCACTGATACAGCAGAAAATGACCTCTTCGTGGCCTGCAAACCAAGCCCTAAGAATGAAGGCGTGTGGTACTGCCAGGCAGGTCCAACAGCTTACTGTCACCAAAACCCATCCCATTTGGGTGGTGGCATACCATTAGTTCAGCCTTAACGTGGCCACCTTAAGCAACCTCTGTAGATTCATTTGCCTTCTGGATCAATTAGCAGAGCAGAGCCTGATTATTACATACCTCGCTTCGTGACAGCTCTGTTCTCTGTAGTCAGCAAGGGGCTCTTCCTTCCCCGAAGCTGAAAACATTCACTTTTCCAATGCTATTAAAGAGCATGAGGTTCATCTGTCTAGGTGAGATAATGTCTGACCCTGCTGCAGAGTTCAGGCCTGGAAAAATAGGTCTTTCTGAGCTGCAGAACAAACAGAAGCAAGATTCATGGCGAAACAAATGCAAGCAAACAGTATGAAAGGCAAATCAGAGGTTACCCTACAGGTTTCCTCTTCAAAAGCAAAGTAAATTAACTTTCCAAACTGAATTAACAAAGTTACCATTAATGTAATAATTGGTACATGCAGCTGAAAATAGCTCCTTAACCTGTACACGTAATTTGTCCAAATATCTTTCTTCGGTCAGATAGGAACAGCTATTCAATCAGCAGAATTTCAGGCTGGTCATTTTTCAAAGTCAAAACCACTGAATTGGCTTATGGTAAAAGAGGATCCCAGAATGATATCTCAGGGCTGAAAGAACTGGATTTGAGAACCTTAAACAGAGGTGATCTACCCTTACGAGACCTGGGGTTGGAAGAGAAGCGTGCAAGGGGCACCTACGTGCTAGCACACTGGGAACTGGACTCCTGTGCAGTGGCTATTTTTTCTGTAGGAAATGGAGAAAAAGGAATGATGCCAGACATTGGAATCAAATTTCAGGACTGTTATACTTGGCAATTTGGAAGATTTAAAAAATAAAATAATAATGATAAACTTATTTGCCTTCAAAAACAAAAACAAAACAAAAAAAATAAAAAAAAAAAAGAGCAGCCAGGGACAGTCTCTAAGATAAGACAAATTTAAACTAGAAGCTAGTAAAAACAAACGCTTGTAACAATATCCCATTAGCTCATACAACTGAAGTCACTCAGATCTGAGCTCTGTGCCTGCCTTCAGTTTTGTGAACATTTGATCTCCTCTTTGTTACAAGCACTGACAGAGGCAGTAAGACATGGGCTCAGCTCTGGCCTTGAGCACTTCACAGTCCCTTCTGACTTGTGTCCAACGACAACTTGCTAGGAATAGCAACCTTGGGTTTGTATCATTGAGGGGAAGGGGTGTGAATTGGTTCACAAGCCTACAGGGGTAGGAATACACTTGATAATTTGCAAGCTTAGGGACTAACAGAGCTTACTTACACTGATCTTGCAGCCTGAGAGCAACCCTGGCAGAACCAGCAGGGCTGTGCTCAGTGCACAGAGCGAAGGTTGCATGGATCGGAGCTTTAGCAGGTATGTGAACCACTTTACAGCATATTTCCTCCCCAATTTTGAGGAGGGGAAAAGGTTAAACTAGACGTAATTTGAGTCAGTGACAGCCTCAATATTAGAGGACCTGCATTTCTTGCATCACATCTATCATAGCAGGGCTGCAACAATAATGGAAAGGATGTATTTGTTCCACAGTAACTACTCGACATGACAATAACCTGTAATTTTTTTTTATAATCATTTATTTGGTCATGATGATACTGAAGGTTCATTTTCACAGAAGTTAAGCAAGATTCAAAAAAATCTATAGTAATGGTGTGTTCCTTACAGAACAGAAGGTACTCAGTAAGCTGTGTCCACTGCAGCAGAAACATAGATGTAATATTTCTGTGAAATTCTGAGAAAAACAATCAGGCTACCACCACCCAACGTTAGTATTTTCTTCTGAGCTTTTTAGAAGAGATGGTGCAGCAGAGGTGGAAAGAGCTCTGTGACATTTGGAACATCTGCTCTACCTCCTTGAAGACCGGCTCAGGGAGATGTTCACAAGTTCCGGTGATAGAAATTAATCTGAGAAAAGTAAAGCAAATGTAAGATGAGCACTGAGGACCCTATGGTTAAAGACTGTGCCACAGCAGCTCCGTTGGTGTACTGACCCCATTTATACAGCAGCCAGCATTTCCAGCTAAGCAAACGAGAATTCACCTGATAGCAACTGTAATTTTTCTTTATGCAGACCACACTCCTGGGCCTACGTGATAAAAATGCAAGAAATTGCGATCTCCCACCCCACGGTGTTTGCTGAGCCATGCAGGAGACCTGCAGACCCTCAGCCCTTCCAAGAGCATGAAGGTTACTGCAACCACAACAGCCAGGCTCCTGCGCACAGTGCTACCTTGAGAAATTATAGAAGGCAAGCACAGCAATTCCTTCTTCTTGATTATCTGTCAGTGGTGATCCAATTCTTGAGGACAGCCAGAAGAAAACCCTTTAAGGACAGAACCACAAGATTTGTATAATACCGATGAATCACTTGGTTAAATGGGAGATCACACCTACAGGCAATCACTGGAACAGTGGTGATCAATGAGTTCGTAAAGCAAGTTCCTGGTAGTCTGATATACAAACCTCATTTACAAAGACCTAACCAAAGCAAGTTGCTGAGGTTCTCATGTAGAAATAAATCATTAATGAGTGAGGTTTTATGTATGTAAATGAGGAGAAAAAAAAATGTTGAAAATTGAGTGCCTAAACTTCACAACAAGTCATTGAAATCACCTGCCAAGAAAAGCAATAAATGATCTTCTCCTTGAGGTCAGGAGTCAAGTTTACCTTACCAAAGAGATTCTTTATTTGAACAAGATACTGAGATAAATTCTGGTGAAGACACCTGCTATATAGGTCAGACTGGGCAACCTGACGATCACTTCCATCTTAAAAAAATAAACTAAAATAATGTGTGAGAAGTGTTCAACTCAACCAACTATCTCATGTGAAAAACAAGAACTGCCTTCACTTCACAAGGATTCCAAATTAGTTTTTTCCAAGAGTAAGAATGCTCTTTTCCTTCCTTCAGTGAAATTAAGAATTTAACCATAACTTTATTTTCTCTTTAAGGCTGTAAAACCTGAATCAGTTTCCTAAACAGATCTAAGCACGTTCCTCTCCAATTCTCTTTAGTGTATCCCAGCACTGCGGATATTTTCAAGTAACCACGCCACAAATAGCTTCATCCCACGAGCTCACATCTGCAGGCATCATCTTTGCAACCACCCCCGAAGGGAGAGCAGGAAGATGGTATCATCAGTGTCAACAGTCTGCAGAACAGAAAATTTGTGCAAATTAATTTGGCAGGAAATATAAATAAATAAATAAATAGGATATATACAGTGTAAAATAAAGTTAACAGCACAAAACTGTAGAGAATCAGAGTGCGGGTTCTCCTCAGGTATACCCATCCTAGGCCACCACAGGCTGACAAGCCTGGCATCACATCCCACAGCTCCAGAGCTTTTATACTCAAATACCTTTTCTGGTCTCATCATGTATAAAACATATAAACCACGACTTGCAGTATTAAGTTTCATTTACAGCTTACAGTGAGGCACACACTACTCTTGTTTTTAGTGACCATTGCATCCAAGAAAGAGGGTCCATCATAACCAGCCTTGCTCAGAGTGGAGGAGCCTTGGGCCGTGCCCCTGGCTTTAGGCCAGCATCATCTCCGTTTTAACTCCAGCCTGGCCCCTCCGCCACACAATAACACAACTCTGCCTTGCTTTGTTCTTAAATTAGGCATATAGGAAACAACCTCGCCCTCTGGCAAAACAGAAAACAAACCAAGCTTCTGATGACTCTTCTAACAACAGCAAGCCGACAGCCTGTCCAAGGCCGGCACTAGCCCCGTCTGTTACAGTTACAAACGGAGCGGTTCAATCAGTTGTTATTTCATTAAAAAGTAATGCACCACCTGCTGCAGCATCTCACCTCCGAGAGCCACAAAGTAACCGTAGAGTTAACAGCAGAACAAAGCGTGCTGGAAATGAGACTCGAGAGACGTGATTTGAATGTACAGCGAGAGCCTTTTATTAATTCAATCACTATAAGTGGAAAAGCAATCAAGCTGTCACGCACACAAGCCTTCCTTCGGGTCTGACCTCTGTGTGCTCCGAATGCCAGGCGCTGTCCCCAGCGTGCTGTTACATGTAACGCAAGCTATAACCTTTACCTATAAACTCGTCTCACGAACGCCCATAAAAAAGCCTCATTACTGCCCCTGCCACAGGAACGTGCGGGATTTCTGGGGAAAAAGGGCTGCACCGCCAGGTACCGCTCCCAGCTCCAAGCAGCACCCCAACACAGCACGGTGCCACCACTGACCTACTGCCCCCTCGCACTGTGAGTTCATTTAAGGTTGGATGTTAGGAAGAGCTTCTTTACTGAAAGTTGTTGTGAGGCATTGGAACAGGCTGCCCAGGGAGGTGGTGGAGTCACCATCCCTGGAAGTCTTCAAAAGACGTTTAGATGTAGAGCTTAGGGATATGGTTTAGTGGGGACTGTTAGTGTTACGTTAGAGGTTGGACTCGATGATCTTGAGGTCTCTTCCAACCTAGAAGTTCTGTGATTCTGTGATTCTGTAATCACCTCATAAGGTTATCAAAAGAGAGAAAAACCGGTGAAATTAACAGCATGGAAGCTGAGGCACCACAGTTATGGGGCGGAGGTGGCGGGCGGCACGGCCTGGCTGCAGACCCCCCAGCCCCATCGGGCCGGGCTCCCCCCAGCTCCCTCCATTCCCTCACGGCCCCCCTCAGTCCCCTCCCGCCCCTCCCCTCCGGCGCCTCCTCGTCGCCAGGCAACGGCGGGCGCGGGGCAGGACGGGACGGGAAGGGCGGGGCGCGGGGCACGCCGGGACGGGGCGGAGGTGAGCGGCAGGCGCGGGGCCGGCACCGGGAGCGGGACCGGGCCTGGGTCGGGCTGGGGTCGGCTCGGCCCGGCCGTGCCGTGCCCCGCCCCCCCCGCCCCGTGACGCCGTCCTTGCCTTGCAGGGGGTCCCAGGATGGCGGAGAGACCGGAGGACCTGAACCTGCCCAACGCCGTCATCACGCGCATCATCAAGGAGGCGGTGGGTGCCCAGCGGGGGCTGCGGGCGGGCACACGGACACGGACACGGACAGGGACAGGGACAGACACGGACACACGGACACAGCCCCCCCGGCGCTCCCTGTCCCCCGGGTTCGCCGCCCAAAGCCCCCGGGGGGCTCCGGCCCTGCTCAGCGCCGCGTTGGGTTTGGGGCCGTCAGCGAGCAGCTCGGGGCCTTGCGGGGCCGGCAGCGAGGCGGGCACCGCGTGAGGCGGGGTCATTGCCTCCTCCTGGCTTGTGCTTGAGAGAAAACAATCCCATTTCTGGTGGCCTTCGGCTGGCATCGAAGCTCCTGCGGTAGTGTCTGAGATCAGCGTAGAGTTTCCAGTCCTGCTCAGCTCTCTGACTGCTGCCAGAGAACCCAACACGTGCAGTTAGGCAGGTTAAGTCGCTTACAGCAGCTGCTGATAAAACTCGAATTTGTTTTCTAGCTTCCTGATGGGGTGAACATTTCCAAAGAAGCTCGGAGCGCGATATCTCGAGCAGCAAGTGTGTTTGTGCTCTATGCAACGTCATGGTAAGAATTTGTCACCTCACGTAACGGGAGCAGTTGATTTGTAACTCACCTCTGTGCTGCCTGTCCTGGAGGTCTGTTTCAGTGTGCGTGCTGGCATTGTCTGACTAAATAAAATAATCTTTAGCATAACCCACGCCACCAGATTGCCAGAGTTTGGTTTGGATTGCCTTTTACAACTTGATGAAGGCAAGAGCCCTTGGCTGACTTTCCAAGCTCGCCATATGACTGCATTTGGGCAGATGTGAGCCAGCAGAGCCAGCCTTGGAGCTGGCTACATGGATACAGCAACGTCTTTGGGGGGTGGGGAGCATGGGGGTGGGTGCTTGCCAAGAATATGCTCTGCCAGCAGTTGCTTTTCTGGTGTTGAGTACTCTCATGGCTTTACGGAATTACCACCTTGTAGCCCATGTTCAGACTTTCTACTTCTTTCCCCCTGGCTATTCATAGAAAATGTTCATGCAAGCAGAAAACTTAAAGTTGTGGGAGAGCCAATGCAACTAGATGAAAACACTAACAGCCAGTGTAAGCACGAGAGCATGTTAAACTTTTACAGTAAGTGATTTAAGAGCCTTGAATATTTAGGAGATTTTCTTTCTTGAAGTTATGACTTTAATAAACAAAAATAAATTGATGACAGTTATCAATTATCCGTCTTCTCTTTCTTGTTTTTGCCTAGTGCAAATAACTTTGCCATGAAGGGGAAGAGGAAAACCCTGAATGCTGGCGATGTTCTCTCTGCCATGGAGGAAATGGAGTTTCAGCGATTTGTAGCCCCTCTGAAAGAGTCCCTGGAAGGTATCGTCCTCAGCTCATGTCGAGGGAAATGAAGTAGCAGCAAGTCCTATTTTCCTTGAACATTGGACAAGCAACACTTACTTGCCTGTCTTGTTTCTCTTTTCTTTGCCCAGCATCCTACACTGCAGGTTGCCTGGGGATTAATAATGTGCACCTTAGCAGAACTGGGATAACATTATTTCACAACTGATGAGGATTGAGAAAGTCTCATCTGGTATCAATCCCCTATTATGTTATCTAAGGAAAGTCTTAGGTGCTGCCTGTAAATGTGAACTCCTGCGACCTTTTCAGCATTTTTCTGCTGAAACTTAACCTGATTTCCTATGGAGCTGGTCAGCACAGCTCAAATAATAGGGTGAGTTGCTGCTCTGAGTTCACTGCTCCTGCTATAAGCCTGGAGAGCCAGTGGACGTTGAACTTCAGCTACTGTAATGTTCATGCAGTGGCTGGCTTGCAGTTTTTCACTGTTTTCTTTTTAGTTTACAGACGTGAACAGAAAGGAAAGAAAGAAGCAAGAAAAGATAAAGACAAAAAGACAGACTCAGAGGAACAAGATAAGAGCCGAGAGGAAGAGAATGATGATGATGATGAAAGGATGGAGGAAGAAGAACAAAACGAGGAGGAGGAGGTGGACAACTGAGCTTGCTGATGAGACATGCAGGGGTTGGGTTTTTGTAGGGATATAAATGCTGTAAAGAAATCTTGCTGTGTCCCCTCTTGTTTCCAGTAGAGCATTGTACTGTTCTTTTGGGGTCCATCTCTGTTTGACTTTAGCTTGTATATAAAGGATTTGGCTAAAACATTTCTAGTGGGTGGACCACCTCATCCCTGTGCGCAGGGGACTTGGCAGCCTCCCAAGGTTCTGAGCTGGCAGTAAAGCTGGGTTGGCTCTGAAATAGAATGGAAAAAAAATAGAAGCTGGCCAAGAGAACCTGAGAGAACTGTTGAATAAGCTCCTTAAACCAAGTCAGAGACTGAATCTTTGTTAACCCCTTGGGGTTTAAAGACTACACAATGATGTTAAGAGCCTTAGAAGCTGACCATTTAAGCTTTTTATCTATGTAACATTCTTTTTTTCCTTTGGTTTCCTGCATTCTGTCTGTGCCTTCTATTTTGTGCTCTTTGGCAGTGATGCTGTCTTTCAGCCTTACCAGCAGTGTGCAGCAATGCAGCACAACTGTACAAGGGCCAGCAAACTGAACTGGTTTTCTCCCTAAACGAATTTAAATCAAAAAACCTCACTGTGTACAATGCAAACTAAATACCGAAAGTGCTTGTTTTGTGTCTTTAAAAGCCCTTGGAGATGAAGAGTGTTTTTTTGTATGAAAAATATGAAGCAAAACTAACTGGAAAAATGTGTGTGAGGAATAGTAAAAAGAAGGCTGGCTCACGTGGGATGTTTGCAGGGCAGCAGTGGATCTGGTGGTCTCACCTCCCTCTTCTGCAGAGCTGCAGTTTCTGCAGGCAGGTTGGTGGCTTTTCTGCAAGTCTAAATGTAGTGTTAGAATAGCAGTGGTTTTTTGTTGTTTAGTTTTTTTTTTTCCTCCTGAATTGGAGTGGACTAATTACTTCAGAAGACATTCAGGGTGTGCAGCCTGCCTCCAGGAGTGCAGTGAGGGCAGTGCAGTCCTACATAGGAAGGCCAGCCTCAAGTCTGTGAATTTTTTACATATCACCCATCAAGAAAATGGGACCAAACCAGCAGAATTACCTGTTAGAATAAGCTTCTTTTGGACGTAGTGCTTTATTATTTGATTGATCTTTTTTTCAAGACTGATAAACCTAATATTTCAGCGAAGCTAGCGAAGGAAATGAAGAACATTTTAGGTACATTTAAGTAAACCCCCCGGTTTTGCTGATGTGCAGCTTAAACATGAGCACATGGGAGGAGCAGCACCTCCTGTGTTTTATAAAGCTGACGCAGAGCTCCCCTGCGAGCTGCCCAGCCCTGCCAGTTGTATGGCACGGTGACAGCGTGCAGAGAGCCAGCTCCTGGAGGGAGCTCAATCCCCAGCGATCCGCTGTCTGGTTTCCACTTGGCACTCAGTCAGAACAGGCTGCGCTGACGACGCCTTCCCCATCTGAACAACCCCGAAGTGGTGCTTCCAGCTTTTATTTTTTAATCTCGTACCAATGTGGGACGCGCGCTGTGGCGGGACCAATAATTTGAATAAAAGCCGGACTCTTTGCAGCCGCCGCCTCCTTCATTACACAGAGCGGGCTCAGGGCAGGGGCTTGGGGGGGGGGTTCGCGGGACGGGCCGGGGGCGCGCACGGGGCCGCGCGAGACTTCCCGCCGAATTACCGAAAGGCGGGGAAAGGGGCGTGGCCACGCGGGCAGGGGGCGGGGCTATGCAAATCCCGCGCGGCCGGAGCGGCGGCAGGAGGTGAGCGCGGGCCGGGGCGGCGGGGGGCCCGCGGGCAGCGGCACCGGGCAGGGACCGCACTCGGGTGTCCCCGTCCCCGTCCCCCCCCTGTGCCCGGGGCTGCTGTAGCGCCCCGCGGCCGGGAAGCACCGCCATGGCCCGGCCCGGCCCGGCAGGCTCGGCACCCGGGGGTTTTCCCGTCCGCGTCCCCCTGCAGCGTGCCCCGAGCCGGGCTGCGGGGGGGTGGCCGAGGGGCTGGGGGCGCGGTGAGGCCGGGGGGGGCTCGGTTTGCTCGGCACGGAGCACAGGGGGTGAGGGGAGGCCTCCCGGCGGCCTGCAGATCCCTCCCGGGGGGAGCGGGGGGCAGGCGCTGAGCTCAAGCAGCGTTTGGACAAAGCTCCACGACACAGGGGCTGCTGTGGGGTGGTCCCGCGTGGAGCCCGGAGCTGGACTCGATGCCCCCCCCCCGTGGGTCCCTGCCAGCTCCGGGCCGTCCTGGGGCTGTGCCTCGTGATGGAGCCGGTGGCTGGCACCCAGCTGGCACACGGAGCTGCGCCCGCTGCTGGTGCCAGGACCCGGCACTGAGGCACTGCGAGGGCTCGAGCCCGGCTGTGCCCCACAGGGACCTGTGCCGGGTTTTGGGGTCGTGGGGAGGGTGCAAAGCAGCGAGTGCTGGCACCCTGCTGGTTCCCACATGGGCATCTCCAAGGTTTCCAGGTGGAAGATGAAATCTTTCCTCACGCCTTGAGCTTTGTTAGTGGCTGTTAATTGAGCTGCAGCAGGGTGGGAGCTGTGTGGGGATCCGCGTGGCTCTGGGGCCGTTGGCCCATGGGGTCACATCTCAGCCTGCACCTCACAGCTGCTCACACTGCCCTTCCCTTGCCCACTGCAGCCCTGCCCTGGCTTTCGGACAGTTTTGGGGCATGCAGCGGCTCAGCTTCTGCCAAAGGGGCCCCCAGGCAGGGGTACCCCCAGCTGTGGCTGTTATCCCCGCTCCGCAGGCCCTTGGGACCTTCCCCACAGAGGGTGGTGGCCTCTATCTGTCCCATACAGCACAGTGGCGGCCGGCTGCCTCCCATCCCACCCCGTCCCCCTCCCCTGCCTCCCCCAGGATTAACTGCTGGAGCATTTTCTGGATTCTCGAGGTGCATTTTGCTCACTGAACCCTTTGTTCCCGGTGGCTGCCCGCTGCCAGCCTGCCTGGAGCCCTGCCCGAGCGGTGCCCGGGGGCTCTCTGCGAGCAGGGAGGGCTGCAGCAGCCCCGGTCTCTCAGCTATTTCCTAAGTGGTGCCCTGACACTGCCAGCGTGCCGTCAGCTCGTCTGCATCCCACGCAAACACCGCTGTCATTTTTTATAGTGCTTTTAGACGTGTGAGCTGGCAAGTAACCGAGAGGTGCCCTTTCTGTATCCCCAAGCTAGGAACACAAGGACTCGGTTCAAGCCCGGCCTGAACGTGATGCCCCTGTTGCAGGTGGGGTGGTGTGCTGCAGACTGGGAATTGGGCTCTGTGTGGGAGTGTTTGAAGGGTCTTGAGCTTATCCCAGTGTGGCACAGGTGAACACCTCAAATTCAAGGTTTTGTAGAGGAACAGAGCCATCTCCTGATCAGCTCTGTCACTGCCTGCTGTAGCAAGTGCCCCTGTAAGCCGTCTTTCATGACCATGGTCCTGGTGGGCAGACCCAGAGGTTTCTGTGTCCTGCAGAGAGCCGGGCACGGTGGGCATGGGTAGAGGAGGATCAGTGAGGCTTATTGCTGGGGAAATCCCTCCCGGGTCCTGGATTTATGGCAGCAAACAGGAGGGCCCAGGAGGGCTGTGATGGGACTGGGGACGGGGGCTGCTTCTGGGATGGATCACACAGTCAGGTCTGGGCTGTCCCCAGCGTACAGTCCCCAGCTCTCCACCCTCAAGCTCTCAAAACAAAGTCCATGCTGTGCACTTTGTTTCCTGAACCTGAACCTCGGCTCCTGGGCAGACGCAGAGCTGGGGGAGCCCGTGACCTCTGCCCGGGAGCTGGCTGGGCTCCACGCCCTCACTCCGGGGGCCCTAAATCCTGCACTGCTGCCCCGGGGCCAGCGCTGCCGCTCCTCCGGCTCCTCTACCCGAGGCTCCTCTGCTCGGGGTGTTTGCAGGACCTTGTCTGGATGAGGCCCAAGGGTGCAGCCAGAAGTGCTCAGAGCTGCCCCAAGGGAGCTGCCTGCCCCTGGGCCGTGCTTCCCAGGCCGTCCCGGCCGCAGCAGCTGCTCCTGTGCCACCCCAGTGCCTCGTCCCTAGGGAACACCAGCTCCTGCCCCCAGCTTTGGGTGCTCTAGTGCCAGCCCTGTGGTACACCCCAGGTTTTTCTGTGGGCAAAAGGCAGCATGGCTTAAGCAAAGCAAAGGATTTATTGTTGTAAAACTTAAATCTGACTTATCTGGTCACAATTGTTATTAGTGAGATCTAATTATTGCAGGGGAGAAAAAAAGAAAGCATTAAAGGAAGAAGTTTCCGCAATAACACAGGTATTTTCGCTTTGTGCATGCTGAATACTTGCTCTTTGTTACTCCGTAAGCACTTCTGCCCAACTCCCACGTTTGCATTTCTTTATCAGGCCATAGGTAAGCGCCCACTGGTGTTGTGTAACCACGGCGTTCACAGCCTGGTGGCTCAGCACCACCCCGTGCTTCTCTTCTTCACCCAGCACCGAGACGTTTCGGTATCTGCCCTTTGCCATCGTGGCCACGACTACTTTGTGCTACACAGCCCAATCTTCAGTCTTTAGCAAAGACCATCTCATCATAGAAAATTGCTGTTCCAGCTCCACAAGCTGAAACAAAGCTCCAGGCCGTGCTGGGCAAGTCCTGAGGCCGTGCAGAGGTGGTACAGAGCCTGCGGCTGGGCACTAACAAGGTGTTATGGTATTTACTGGGTTATGGGGTGAGAGGCTCCTGCTTCACCCCCGCTGCCCGGGAAGCAGATGCCCTGGGGAATTCACTGCTGCTGCCTCGCTGCAGCTCACCAGATACGGGCCAGAGCAGCACGCGGGGCTGCCACACTCTTGTAACTCACCTCTCGGTCACTGGCTGAGTCCTGCAGCTGGGATTCCCAGCTAGCAGGGAGCGGGGCAGCTCCCCTACAGCTGACAGCAGAGGGGCCTGCTGCTCTCCAGCTGGTACCTGTCAAGGCACAAGGTGCTGGATGCAAGCACGGGGCAATAAATGAGCTTTTCTCAGCGAGTGGCTGCTGTGGGGGAGCAGCAGCTGCCCAGGGCCAGCCGTGGGGTGCCGCAGCTCCATGTGCCCTCTGGCCAGGCTCTGAGCCCGGGGGGCTGTGTGGAGTTTGCAGGGTGGTGGCACTGAGCTGTGTGAGTGTGGCTGTGCTGCAGGACGCTGCTGGTGCCCCTAACTCGGTGGTTTCTAGCACGGAATGGGAAGGGGCAGCAGGGAGGAGTTGGCACCGTCCCCGTGTATGGCTGCAGCTCCCACTCCCCACAGGTGCAGCACAGGGACAGCCCTGCGCAGGGCCCTTGGGCCTCAGCCCCTTCCCCATGCACTCTGATAGCCGGGCCTTGCTAGCACCCAGCCACTAATCTGATGGTTTTGGTGTTTCAGAGTCTCCTTTCTTGGCTTCCTCGTGAATTCCCAAGATGCAGGCGGACTCGCTCCTTCACAGTGGCTACTTCCACCCCGTGCTACGCTCTTGGCAGTGCACAGCAAGCACCTTCGATGCCTCCAACCTCATCTACCCAATTTTTGTCACGTGAGTGAGCCAAACCAAGGGACAAACCAAGCTCAGCTTGGCTGCACATAGAGCTATGGGCTCAGGTGCTCCCTGAGCGGTCGGGTGGGTTTAGACCCCCCAAAAGATTCCCTGTAGACGAGCCTGGGATGGGGGCTGGGTTCTCTGGGCACTGCCCACCTCCGATCTTCCTTCTCACACCAAGTGCTCACATCTCTGTCCCATCCAACTTCTGCAGTGACAGCCCTGATGCGGTGGAGCCGATCGCCAGCCTCCCTGGACAAGCCAGGTAAGAGCACAGACCCTGAGCTGCGTGCCCCCTGCCACGAGCAGGGCTGACATGGGCCTGAGATGAGCACAGGCCAGGGGTGACGCTCCCAGCCCCCCTTATGCCCTGCCTTGGGGACCCCCCAGCAGCTGGCAGGGTGGTTGCATCCCTCTGCTTAAGGAGAGAAAGAAATCAGATCGGGATGTTTGGAAAATACCGACACGGGCAGGGAGGGTGCCAGGGCCCCACAACGTTGCAGAGCACTCACACGGTGTGAGAGAAGTTGGAGGAGAACGGGGAGCCCAGCAGCACCGGACGCAGCTCCTGTCCTGCGTTAGGTCCTGTTGCTCCGTCAGCTCCTGTCCTCCTCACTCGCTGCTGTGTTGGCAAAGCTTGGTCGGAGGCCAGAGGGGGATGTTCCCATCGGGGGGTGGGCAGGATCTCCCTTGTGCAGGACAGGATTTCTACATCTGTCCTTGCTGTGGGGCGGCAGGAGGTGGGGCGGCGTGGGAAGGGCACGAGGCACCTCAGCCAAGTGGCTCACAGCACCTCACTGCTCACAGCTCTGCTCTGCTGGCCCTGGGCACATGGCCACGGTTGTGCGAGCAGTGTGCGCAGCACAGTCCGTGCTCTGTGCCACACCAGGCGCTGCGCCTGCTGCCCAGCTCACCGTGCCGAGCCCAAACTCGGCTTTCGGGGCTGCAGCAGGAAAGCTGAGATAAGGGAGTCAAGGGCAGGGCATGCTTGTCCTTTCAGAGCAGAGCTCAGCCCCCTCTGTGTCCCTGCCGGGCAGATAACTGTCCTTAGCCCCAGATAAGGTCCTGCATTGTTCCTCCCAGCAC